TCAAGGTTCTGGGGGGAGCCTGTCTGACATATTTGAAGAACAGGAACAGCAGGGAGGTCAGTGTGGGAGAGTGGCAGAAGATGAGGTCAGAGAAGTAAAGTAGGGTAAGCTGGGGGTGGAGGGTGGGGTAGAAGGATAGGGGGCCAAGTCACTTCCTAAGGCCTTCTAGGACTATATATTATCTAGTATAGTAGTCTAATCTGGCCCATCACCTGTTTTTATAAATTAACTTTTATTGGAACACAGTCACATTCATTTATATATTGGCTATGACTGCTTTTGCACTATATAGGAAGAGTTGAGTAGTTGCTGTAGAAACCATCTTGCCTGCAAAGCCTAAATATTTATTCTTTGACCCTTTACAGAAAAAAGATTTTTGACCTGATTCTAAAATCCATATAGACTCTTGGATTCTAAGTCTACAAAATCATGAAGGGTATTAATGGTTTGTATCTATTCAAACAAGTTGTAAGTTTTAGAACAAATTTAGAGAATAGATGTATATGTAATTATAAGTAAATGTATTAAATGTGCCTCCTTAAGACATTTGATAGTGTTAATAATTGAAGAAAGATTTAAAGAAATGGACAAATGATTTATAGGAGTTTATAGAGGTAAAGTTAGGTGTTCATGTCCTGCTTTCTGAGCACGCCTTTGGCATGACATTTTAATTTTTATCATCGTTAAGTGAGATATTGGGTAAACAACAGCGAGCAACTTAGATGTGGTCCTGCTTTCACAGAGTTTACAGTCCAGTGAAGATTACACTTAAGGCAGATAGTTACATTCCAGTCAGGTAAAAATTCTCTTATAGAGGAAGTACAGGATGCTGGAAAGTACATAGAAGGGGCAGCTAATGCAGAAATGGGCCAGATGGAGGCCACAGACTGGGGAGCACCGGCAGGACCACAGAGAGGTTACTTATGCTGGAGGGAGCATGGCTCATCGGGAGGAAAGGGGGAAGGAGGGAGGGGAGTAGGGCCAAGGCCATACAAACCATGTTAAGGAGATAGGAGTATATTTTGAGAGCCTGGGAGTCATTAATGGCATTTGTGTAATCAAGTATCATTTAAGTCAATTTCTGAGACTCTGCAGCATCGGAAGGAAGTATTTGTCAAACTTTTATCATCTAAAGAGTTGGTTTAAACTTTTAATGTCTAAGGAGATAGAAGCGCTTGCTGTGTAAAAGATTTTTTTTTTTTACTGTGGATCTATATTTTCTGCATGCCCATCTTGTCATTTGTCTCCCCACAATTCTGTTGGCAGGGGTAATGGGAACATTAGGGAGATAATGGTTCAAACCACTTCTAAGTTTATGTTGGCACAGAAAATATAGGGACTAAGAATAGCCATAAAACTTAAAACTTTTCTCACAGTCACATGGAGCCATTGGACATTTTTCTTGCCTATACAATTCTTGGTTTTCCAAACTTAAAAGCAGAGGTTCATTGTTCTCTTTTGTCTTGTTTATCTTTTGAAAAAAAGTAATAAATGGTTCAACAATGGGAAAATGTAGAAAAGCAGAAGAAAAAAGAAAACATCCAAGGCTCTTCATTTTGATAAAACTGCCTTCCTTTTGGTGATTTGTTTTATTACACATTTATATTCATTTTGCATGTGCTTTTTGGATCAGAGTAATTTTATTTTAAGTTACATAGTTGTGGTCATTCTTTATATATGTGTACCTAGTTTTTAAATTTTTGTTGTATTTTAAAGCATCTTTGATGTTTGTAAAATAGTATGTCAAATATCTATATATAGATACTTGATATAAATATATAAATGAATATATATTTATCCTCCTATCATTAGATATTTAAGGTGCCTATTTTATTATAGTAACAGCGGGATAATACATTTACACATAAAGCCCATACAATCATTTTAAATTATTTTATTCTTTGGCACTACGCACAGTCTTTAAAGTTTATTGATGGGTTTCTACAAACTAGTTGTGAATCTATGAGACCTGAGCTTAGCAGCATAATTAGAAAGCATGAGTTTTTGGATAATGAAGAAAATGGACCCCATAAGATGGACTTATGTGAATACTCTGGCCAGGTAGTAGGTGCTGGGGAGGACTTGTCTCTTTCCTGCCTCCGTAGGCTGACTTTTTGAAGACCTGACCCCATTACACAGTATTAAGTCTCCCTAATGCATTATTCCCTCTCAGGGGTCTGAGGAGCAGACCATCGTCTACGTGGTTGGGAAGGCGGGCCGCCAGCACTGGCAGCACGTTTACACCGCGGTGACCAGGGGTCGTTGCAAAGTGTACGTCATTGCAGAAGAGTCTCAGCTCCGGCGTGCAATTTCGAGAAACAATGTCCACAGGAAAACTCGTTTAAAGTGTTTTTTGCAAAACGAGCTCTCCACGAGCTCTGCATCTCCAGCAGATTTTGCAACGCCGTCAAAGAGCTCTGGAGACAGTGGAGGCCGCAGCACACAGCCGTCGTCGCCACTCCCCACGGGCACAGCTGACGTTGGGACAAACCACGCCCCTGGAGGCGGGGCCTCTGCTGCTGATAGCAAGACATTCGCCTTTGCTGGAGGATGGATATTACCTTTATCTGATGAAGTGGATACAGATGAAGACCCGTCAAAATCTCGAGGGTCCAAAAGAATCTGTGGCATGAATGTTGATGAAAGTCCAAGCAAAATTCGTATGGTAGGAGTGATGTTCTCATGGGCTCGAGTTGTATTTAAATATTACTAACCTCAGTGTGCTTGTATGTACTAAAGTACTGTGTATTTTTATTAGTGTTAACACTGTGCTGTAGGATGCAAGCACAAGTGTTCTCTCACCTCTGTCAAATTTCCGCTCTCCTATGCCCAGTTGAGCGTAGAGGCTCCTTCTCACTCTGCCTGAGGCTGGCCCTCTAGAGAGGGCAATCAACCGGCTTCGGGAGAAACTTCATTATCTTACACCTTCTTTCTGCGTGTCTTCCTTATCCCCCTCCCCTCCCTTTTGTCAGCCATGATCTCACTTTCATCCCTACAACTCCACTGAAGCAGCTGGTTCTAGTCATCTCATCAACCTGAGAGGCCTTTTCTTAGGTCTTGTTCTTGACTTTTTTCTTTGAAACCTCCAGCAGTTGTAACTGCTGCTGCTGTTTCAATGTTTCCTTCCCTGGTTTCAGTGGTACCTTATCTAATGCTTCCCCTACTTCTCTGTCTCATCTCCCCCCTTCCTTTCTTCACTCCTTTACTCGTCATCCTCAGACTTGAGACACCATCCCCAAGGCTCAGGTCTTTTTACCTTTGAGAACTGATCCCGTTCTCTGAGTTTCAGCCATCACCTTTGCACTCATGATTTGGTCAACGAATAGTTTTCAGCTGTCTGCTACATTCCAGACATTGGTAAGTGACAGTTCCCAGTCTTGCACTGATGGCCCATGGTAGAGATGGACAGGCTATGTAAATAACCAGGTGCTTCGCTGAGTGTTCTTAACACTGAACAGAAGGTAACGAAGCAACTCTCCTGAATGTGTCTTTGTTCCTGGAGTTTGACTTTCTGAAACCGCAGCTCAACATCTTACTCTCTTCTCTGACTTCTCCATTGCAAACTCCATTCTCTTACTACACACACTTAAAATTTTGGCATCACCTTAGACTCACCTTGCTTTCACCGTCTACCTCTAGTTTGTTGCTAGATTTATTGCAAAATGTATCTCTCAGGAATTTCTTTCATTCCATGTAGTCTGGGCTGTTTTAAATCCTTATCTCATTTTCTTGGATGATTACTGACCTGATGATACCTTCCCCTCTTAATTCCCATTCTCCTAATTAACCCTACACATCATTACCAAATTAACCTCTTTTAAGTGCTCAGCACATTCCCGTGTTTAAAAGTCTTCGGTGGCTCCCTAATGCCCACAACCTAAATTCTGGACTATTTAGCTTGGCATTTGAGACTTTTCACAATTTGATTCCAGCTTTTCCAGCATCGTTTCATTCCCACCTATTCTTTTCTGCTTTAGTCAAGCTAGTGTCTTCATTCATTAAAATGAACCCAACTTGTTCTCATTTCTTCCTTTTGGCTTTTGTTATACACTTAGTTTGGATGCCTTCTTCTCTCTGCCTCGCCTCACACAGCATTTGAAAAAAATTTGAGTCCTCTGCTAGTCACTGATCTGAATGTTGGAGGGAGGAAAAGAGACAAGTCCCTGGCTTTATTGACATTGCATTCTACTGATGGCTCATAGGCAGTCAATACAAGAGAAAATAAAATTTCAGATCAAGAAAGATTCTATGATGAAAATAAAGATAATAAAGTAGGGAATGGTGAGGGGGTGTGGGGGAGGGCAGAGCAGGCAGGCAAAGCTCCTTTGCCGTGGTGGTTAGATAAGGCCTCACTGAGATCACATGTGAGGCCGAGCAATGAATGAATGATGCCAAGGAGACAGCCATGGGAGGCTCGGAGGAAGCACATTTTAGATACAGAATGTAGAAGATGCAAAGCCTGTAAAGGGAATGATTTTATTGGAAGGCGAAGGCAGGCCAGTTTTGCCAGTAAATGAGGAAGAGAGCATATGTAGGTGATGATGTTGGAGAAAAAGCAGGGCTGTGGGAGGGAGTTGGGATTTTATTCTACTTGCAGCGGGAATGCATTTGAGAGCTTTAGGCAGAGGTGCCATGTTATCTAATGGATGTTTAAAAACAAACCCTCTGGCTGCTGTGGAAAATGAACTGTGGAAAGTAAGGTGGAAGCAGGGAGACCAGTCAGGAGGTTGTCCTAGGAAAAGTCTAGTGAAAGAGCAGGAGGGGTGATGAGAAGGGGTTAGATTCTTGACGCATTTGGGAGATGGAGTCTATATGACTTGCTGATGAGATGTAAGGGAGTAAAACGAAAAGTAATCCAGGATGATTCCTGGGTTTCTGGCTGAAGCAACTTGGTGAAATGTAGTGCCATTTCCTAAGATGGCAAAGACCCAAGGAGAACTGGGAATAGAGAAATGAAGAATTCTCTTTTGGCATGTTATGTTTCAGGTTTCAGGTAGACATGTAAGTGGATTTGTTGAGAAAGTCACTGGTTGGTAGAGGAATTTAGAGCCTCAGAGTGGATTGAGGTGGGTGATATCCATTTGGAGGTCATTAGCAGATAGTGGTAATTAAAGGACTAGGTGAGTTAATTTCAGGAGAGATCACAGATAGAGGAGGGAGCCTTGTGACGGAATTCCGGAGTGCTCCCAAATTTTAGAGGTTTCGCAGAGGAGGAAGAACTCGCCAAGGAGACCGAAAGGAGGGAGCATGAGTGAGAGAGAAGGAAAAACAGGTGACAGGGAGGGGACAAAAGCCTGATTAGAGAGAATAGGAGGTGAGAACGTGGAGTTTTTGAAGAAGGTTGTTATGAAAAGAAGCAGAAAGATAGGGTTGTTACTAGCTAGAGGACCTGTGATCGAAGAAGGATTTATTTATTTTGGATGGGTTCATCCAAGCATCGTAGGGTGTTGCTAGAATGGTCCAATGGAGAAGAAGACATTCCTGATTCAGAGAGAGGGGGTAATTGCAGGAATAGAGTTCTGAAGTGGGTGAGATGGGGAAAGAGGGTGAATGATTGCCCTTCTTTACCTGCGATCCAGTGGGAACGGGCGCAGTACATGACTGGGGTTAATGGAGGGAAGACGAAGTAGCTCTCTGCTGATTGCCTCCTCCCATCTTCTCTCTCTTCATAGAATCCAGCTCCCATCTTTTTCTCTCTTCTTAGAATCCAGCTCAGTTTCTGTTTTGTTCATGAAACCCTCCCTTTCTCTGAACCAACACATCTCTCTCCTCTGTACGGCACTTGTAGTAATCATCTTGCTTGACTCTGTAAATACAGCTTCGTGAGGACAGCATTTGTATCATACAATTGCTGATCACACAATAGCTGAAAAATACTCAGTGATTAAATTATGAGTTATGGAGATGTGGCAATCAAACCTTTTTTTAAAAAAAATCAGACCTTCAGAGTGTTGTTCTTTCATATTATGCTGAAAGTCATACTTATTCTTGTTGTGTCCACCTTGCTTTGAGAATTCTTTTGAGAATCACTTGTAGAGGGAGTCAAAGATCCTTTCGAATGTTTAGAAAGGAAGCAAACTTTTATTGAGACCTATTTTAGTTTTTAGAAATAATCCAAAGTCATTTGTTTCCTCGTTTTATGAATTGTATGATCCAATTTGGGTAACACCATTTTGTGATTTTAAAAAATGGGGATTATAAATTACCTCCAAATGTAGTTCCCATAGAAGCTTAAGAATTGTTTTGTGTGTTGGCAGCAGACTTGTTAGGGTGAGGCTTTAGGCTTCCAAGGCTGTAATAAAGTTAAGATGGGGCAGGATACTGTGGGAGCCCAAAGGAGAAAGTGGTAACGTAATTTCCTTATACCAGGCTGAGTTCTTAAGGGACAGACTTCTATTTTCTGACTTCACATGGGTATGAGACAGTTAAGAAGTTCTCTAAAAGTGAGGAACTCTGGCTGACAGAGGTCATAGAGTGTGAAGCAATGGCACATTAGGCAACTACAAGTGTAGAATTGTGTGGCTGGAGCACAGCATGTAAACGGGAGTTGAGCTGAAGATGCTGGAGGAGTCAAGAAAGGCTCATCTAAAGAGATTGTATGTTCTTCAATAGTCACAGAAGCATTTCAGGAGCTCTGTGGATTGAAATTTATGAAGGTGACTTTGACTAGATGGAGTTTAGTAGATTATGGTTAGGCAGAGACTAGGGGATGAGTTCCCAGCAAAAAGATTATTTCAATATCTTGGACAAAATGATTAAGCTCTAAAGTCAGGTAGTAGCAGTGGGGATGGAGGACATGCTGAGCGGTATAGTCAGTGGGCCTTACTGGTCAGTTATTTGTAGGTGGGGCCGGACCTGGGATGCTTCTTGGGCTTCTGGCTTGGGCATCCGATGGATCCAGGTACCATTAATCAAGATTGGGGAAAGAGGCTGAGGGACAGGTTTTGTGGGAAAAGTAATAAAAGTGGACATAGTGGGGAAAAAAAGCTTTTTTTCTTGAAAGTAGTAGAATCACCGCTGACTCTAAGCTTCAGTCTGTACTCCAAATCAACTGCTTGATACGGAAGTTCCATCTCAGTAAAACATCTTTTTCTGAAATTAAATGTTATCTCTTACAATGATGCTGGGAAAAATAAGGCTTTGACTAGAACAGAAAAGAAAGGCAATTCCAGTCTTTTTCTAAAAGTTTCTGGCTTTGTTTTCTTAGCACTGTCATGGGATGGGGGTTATGGTTTATATGATGGTGCAAAGAGAAAGTGGCAGTATTATCCATCTTCAGTTCTGAGCCTGCCCAAATTTTTAAGCTCTGGCTGAGGCCAGCATTGCAGAAGATCTATAAACATAAAGAGTGACTGTAGGTAGTTGTCCTGCGCTGACTGATGCCATGGCATAATGGCTGCAGCACAAGCAAAGTCCTCTAAAGAGTATAAATTTTCTCACAAGGTTTGCCAAAAGTATGTGGCGTTTACAAGAATCCATAGAAATGAGGAGTGGAATTCAAAGCTTAAAGACTGATAAATTAGAGACTTCTATGTTTTCATGATTCTAGACTTTTAGGTGATGTGTCATTTCTAAAAGATCAAATTCAGTGACAGGTGCTGCCCACATACCCATCCTTTATATTCACCTTGTTACGCAAGAGCCAAATTAACATTTAAATTCTACAGATACTAAGCTGAACCCCTCCTAGATGACAGTTTTTGCTTTTCCATGGATTAATAGCTTCAGCTTTTGAAAAAAGTTCTAAAAGATTATGTTGACCCGATTTTTTTGCCTAGCTTTCCCCCACCAAAGAAAGAAAAAAAAGTAGAACTCTCCATTAAATGAAAATATATGCATATACATTCTAAAACTTATCACATAAAGCAGTGATTTTCCAGAATTTTTTTGAAGGAAAATGACATTTCAACACTAAAAAAAACTAGGGAAGACATAATCACATAGTCTCTGAATAAAGATTGTCCTCGTATTAGTCAGGGTTCTCTAGAGATATAGAACCAATAGGATGTGTCTTCCTCTCTATCTCTCTGTCTGTCTATCTAGATTTATTTTAAGGAATTGGCTCATGCCATTGTGGAGGCTGGCAAGTTCAAAATTTGCGGGATTGGCTGGCAGACTGGAGACTGAGCCTACTTGATGTTGGCAGCAGTCCAAAGGCCATCTTTTGGCAGGCTTCCTTCCTCTTGGAGAGAGGTCAATCTTTTTTCCGTTAAGGCCTTCAGTTGATTGGATGAGAGCCACCTATGTTATGGAGGGTAGTCTGCTTTAGTCTCAGTCTACTGATTTCAGTGTTAATCTCATCTAAAAAGTAGTTTCACAGAAACATCTAGAACAATATTTAACCAAATAAATATCTGGGTACCGTGGCTTAGCCAAGTTGACACAAAAATAAGCATCACAGTTTCCTAAACTGAACAGACTTAGCATTATGAAAGATTGAGTTGTGCTTACTTTTCTCATTTCCCGATGGTGGTAAAACTTCCCCATGACTATCCTGGTCCATTGACTTTTACTTGGGAATCACTAATAGTACCAAGAGGATGCTTGTAGCATTGCAGTGTTTCATCTTTCCACACCTGTGGCCGGTGTCATGCACACGCCACCTGGGCAGTCACATGGGGCTTTGTACTTGGACGGATCTCACACTTGTTATAGTGTTCTGTGGGTATCAGCTTGTAATTCTTAATTTTCGAACATCCCTCATTTCTAGTGATTCAAGGGGCCCTCATTTTAATTTTGTACCAGGCTGCCAAATTATGTAGTAGGCCCTGTCCATGCCTTTAGAAATTATATATGTTTATTTGTTTAGCAAACAGTTGCTTCTACGTGCCAGTCTGAGGTGGGTGCTGGGGATACCATAGTGAGCAGACGCAAACGTGACCCCACAGGAGGCTGACAGTTAATTGCTCTAGTCTGCTTAGGTCTAAGGGGTGAGGAAAATGTATTATGTCTTCTGCAGAAGCAGTCAGAGGGAAAAGAAGTACCTAGGGTAGACTGACTATATTTTTACAAAATTAACTTTATTTTTATTGTCATTCTAACAGGTGGAAGAATCTCCACAAGTATCTTCCAAGCTTCAGAATCTGAAACTTAATAGTTTAACCCCCAGGCAACTTTTCAAATCCACAGATAATCAAGAAACTTAATTTGATTTCAGATTGCTCAAGTAATTGTCTCTTTTTTCCCCATTCAACACAAAATGAACATCAAAGCTTCAAAGTATCAGGATAAAAGAGGATGTCTGTAACTAGAATTTTATTTTGAGGTATTTGTGTTAGCAGCTGTTTTAAATTCACTTGATCAAAGAAAATGTTAATGATTTTAATATCTGTCACGAGAACTGGTAGCACTGGATATAAATGAGAGAAAAAGATGTTATATGTATTTTAAAAAGTCTATACTTTAAAAAGTGTTTTCTTTTTAGGATAATGCCTTATTAACTTCCATGATCATTGTGAGCGATCTTTGCCAACGAGATGAAGCAATGGTAAAGATAACCATAGTAATTGCATCTCTTATGACACCAGTTCCAGCCGGGATGTTGTGACTTCTGCAAAGTGGTCATCTCTCGAGGCTGCTATTTGCTTCATCACTGTTGCCTGGCTCCACTTCATCTGGGTTTTTTCATGGAAATTCCTTTTGAGTTGGGAGCTCATTGTTTTGGGTCCCCCCCGCCCCACCCCCCGCCATTTATTTAAGATTTAATTGACATGTAACATTGTGTAAGTTTAAGGTGTACAATGTGTTGATTTGATAAACATATTGCAATATGATTACCACTGTAGCATTAGCTAAAACCTGTCATATCACATAATTCTTATTTTTGGAGGGAGTACATTGTTTTGAAGATATTCTGTTTTGGAAAAAATTTTTCTGATTTTATTTTTTTTTAAGTTTTATTTTTTTAAAAAATGATAAAAGAAAAAATTAAGAGGAAAAATTTATCCATTATCCCAATGTTTTAAAAAGTCTTATTGAGATATAATTCACAGAGAATTCACCCATTTGTACAATTAAGTGGCTTTTAATATATTCATGGAATTGTGCTACCAAAAGCACACTCAATTTCAGAATATTTTTATATAACCCCAAAAAGAAATCCTGTACCTCTAAGCTCTAATCCCCTCATCCCCTACAGCCCTGGGCAACTACTGATGTCCTTTGTATTGATTTGCCTATTGCAGGCATTTCATATGAATGGAATCATATAATATGTGGTGCTTTGTTACTGACTTTGACTTAGCGTAGTATTTTCCGACTTCATTCATGCATGTTGTAGCATGTATCTATCACCGCTTCATCTCTCTTTTTAAAAAAGATTATAAAAAATTATGTGCAAAGAGAAAGCATAATCCATTCAAGGAAGATCACTCAGTCCAACTTGATGAAGCCCACATCCTTCATATACTGATGGGAAAACTGGCTGCATATAGTGAGTGAGGCCCTATTTCCAGATCAGACCGTGCTGGTTTGGGCTGATGTGGCAAGATCAGGAACCCCGGCTGGATTTTTGCAGGTGGCCCCAGTAGAGCTGCAGGTGACCCATCTTGCTTTCAGTGACGCCGTGAAGCAAAAGGCCTTCTCTTTTTATTACCAAGTATTTCATTGTATGGATAGAGCACATTGAATTTATCCATTCGTCAGTTGATGGACATTTGGGCTGTTTCCACTTTGTGGCTATCATGACTAATGCTGCTATGAACATCTGTGGAAAGTTTTTGTGTGGTCATATATTTTCATTTCTTTTAGGGACATACCGGGGAGTGGAATGCCTGGGTCATATGATAACTCTACGCTTAGCCTTTTGAGGAGCTGACAGTTTTCCAAAGTAGCTGTACTGTTTTATATTTACACCAGCAGTGTGTGAGGGTTCCAGTTTCTCCACATTTTCTCCAGCACTTATTATTGTCCGACTTACTGATTGTAGCCATCCTAGTGGGTGTGAAGTGATATTTCATTGTGGTTTTGATTTCTCTATTAATGATGTTGATCATGTTTTCATGTGCTTATTGGCCATTTGTAGGTCCGCTTAGGAGAAGTGTCTGTTCAGATCTTTTGCCCGTTTCGCAACTGGGTTATGTTTCCTTTTTATTATTGAGATCTGAGAGTTCTTTGTATATTCTACATGTAAGTCCCTTATTAAAAACAGTATTTGCAATTCTTTCCCCATTTTGTGCCTTTATTTTCACTTTCTTGATGGTGTCCTTTGAAGCACAAGTTTTTATATCTGCAAATGGAGATGTTTTTACTTCTTCCTTTCTAATCTGGATGCCTTTTATATTCTTGTCTAACTGCCCTGGCTAGAACCTCTAGTACATTGTTAAGCAGAATTGGTGATAATCATCCATGTCTTGTTTCTGTGAATTTACAGGGTTTGTAAACAATAGGCAAAATGAAAATGTTGGAACAAGTAGGTGCAGTTTGTTTTATTTAAAGAGAGCCTAATTAGAATTCATACGTCTTAATTGTTTGTGTAAGTTTCACAGAATACATGTAACATTCTCTGAGGGCGGATTTTATGACCTTTGTCACCTAAAGTGAATGTGCCATCCGTCTCGGGCGTGTTCCCATCTGCTGGCTGTTTCAGCACTTACCCCGTAGTTTCACATCTAGTCCTCACGAGGTCCGGGAGTGCAGCAGATACAAGCTCCAGTATCGCAAGCAGGGAAACTGACTCTCAGTAAGTAAATTCCTTAATGTCAGTGAGCTGGAATTCACGCCCAGATCTGGTGTCAAAACTATGTTCAAAGCTATGCTCTTTCCACTCTTCTATACTGCTTTCCAAGATTATGGCAAAAACCTTTCCCCTTTAAAAAATTACGTAACAACAAGCATTGTGTAGGGTTCAGTCTAGAACACGAAAATACATTCAAAGCACCCAAAAAATGCATGTCATAGTTTTTGGCTTTTTAAAATCACTGTTTATTCCATTTGGTAGAGGGGTTTTTTTCCCATACAAATATTTGCAACAATTTTGAATTCCCCAAAACCATACATAGACGATAAATACCATGCTATTAAAGTATTAAATTTGTACAAAAATACTTTACAGTTTAATACTTGTTTGTTACAAATAAAAATACATATTTAAGTGACTCATGATCTTTTTTTTTTTTTTTCCTTAACATGATTCTGCTTTATACTTTCTTGCCCTGGCGGTCCTGAAATGTGACTGAAATAATATATTTCTTTGCACAAAAAAAGGTGAACTTTTTCTTTAAATGAAGGACACAGTGTTCAAATGCGTCATCTAAGCAGTTGTTTGAGTTACTGACCAAAATGAAAATATTTGGAAAATAATCGTTTCAATGTGGAAATTCTACAATCGATATACAGATCTATTTTTTTATATTCACCAAATAACAGTTATTAGTGTAACTATTCAAAATATCTGAACAAATGAAAACAGTTGCTGACAAACATTAAAAGCAACTGTCACAAATTTATTGCTTTGAGGGATGGTAATAATTGGCAATGCGTTTTGTGAAAAATGTATTTACAATTTCAGTAAGTGGCATGGCTCAGAACAAAACATAGTCCAGTGTCATTTTTAAGTACATGTGCTGTACACCCCTCAATATAACCAGTTTTTAAAACATGTCAAGCAGTATGAGTTTGATTTGCCTATCATTAAGATAAACCTCATTTTAATAGACTTCTTCATTCTCTCTTAAATTCTTAGTCTTGAATTTTAAAAATAAGATAACTAACTCTCAGTGTTACTAAACACTCTAATTCATTATCAGAGATTTTCAGCTATTAAAAATGTGTCAAAAAAAAAAAAAACAGGTCACAAGACATATCCTGTTTGATAATTTGTTGCATAGGGAATAGCATACATCTTAGTTAAAATCATTCCTATATTTGGGCAGAACATTTACCACCACCTATTATGATCTCCTACGTGCATCATCGCTGAAACATTTTCAGATAACTTAATGTTAGACCTGAACCCCTCCCACAGCAGCAGTCCCAGCAGTTCACCAAACTCTAGTTCCCCTAGTAGAGCCAGCTTTATGAAAAGCTTTGTTGGTCAAGTTCTTACATTAATGACTTCATAATAAGAAACAGATTTCAAATGAATTAAGGAAATTATCATAGAGAATATTTTTAAACAGACACTTCTCTTTTAAAAAAAGTGATAGGAAGATGAAATTGTAAAAAATTTCTTCTGATAGTAATTGTGGGAGGAGCGGACTACCTAGTTTTCTTTTTCTCTACCATTGGGCTTGGCAGGGAATCGTGTGCCACACTCATAGTGGTCACCAAAAAAGAAACCTTTTCAACTCCAAAGGGAAGTGAACATGAGCCATGAGAGAGATTTAAAAGACCCCTGTGCTTGCAGTTAATGCCACTTGATTATCTGTGCTTCAAATGTCACAGAAATCTTAAAGGGATTATTTTTAGCACCATGTGGATATTGTCTTTTGCTTTATAAAAAGCATTGCTATAATGTGTTAGTGGGTTCTCGAATCTCCAAATTACCACCATGGCTAGGCTGTTGGAAAAAAGCACTGTTCTGTTCACTCCATTCTTCTGGTAGAGTCTGTTCTATAGATTTCTGTGAAGCCAGTGGGTTTCTACTAATGACCAGGTCCAGCTTATTACCAGATTCTGCTATGAGGGGCACAACAAGGCAGCAGTCAAAGTCTCTCGTTCGAACATGATTAACCTGAAAGGTCAAAGAAGAGCCATTTTGAATTATTGTTATAGTCATAATTCCCCAAACCCAGAGTAACACTTCAGGTATAGTGAGTTGTCTTGATGCTTAAACCAGCACCTGTACGGAGGGGTCTATCCCTGCTGTGCCCACACGATAGGGAGCTTCTTGGCTTACTTATTGTCTGCTACTAAACTGTAACGCTCTTGAGAGCAGGGAACACGGACACATCCCGACATCCCCATGCCAAACAGACTGCCTTGCTCAGGGCAGGTGCTCTAAATGCTGAATGTTATCCCCGATTTACAGATGAGGAAAGTGAGGCACAGAGTGGTTAAGAGATTTGTCTTAGAGCAGCAGTTGGTGAGTGGCTGACCTAGGCTGTGATCCCAGGCAGTCTGGCTGATTCCAAAGCCTGCGCTCTTGACCATGATGCTACACTCCGAAGTGAGCCCAGCCCCTCTTCGGCTTGTACATGTGCTCATCTTTCATTTCTCATTCTTTATCAAAAAAAGTTTTGAAAATCATCTACATGCTTCTTCCATTCCTTGACTTTCCATTCTCTCTTCAATCTTCTCAGTTCTGAGACCCAACCCTCACATTGTACAAATGACCCCAACTGTCCGACACAGGAATGACGTGTTGGGTTCTGATCCCCTTTGGCCTTTACCACTGGCCGCTCTTGACACCGCCTCATCCTTAAAGCTCTTTCCTTGGCTCCTAGGACACCACTTTGTTTTAATTCTCTTAGCATTTTAACTGCTTGCCTTCAGTCTTTCCCTGTCTTTCTTTCTTCCCGTCCTTTGAATTTGTTTTTCTTGGAATTCTATTCTTGGTTCTCTTCTCTTTCTTACTATAAGTCCACCATAGGCAACTTTATCCAAACCCATGCCTTCAGTATCCTAAATCCTTAGCTCTGGCTCTTAATCTCTCTTGAGCAATAGATCCAAACTGCCAACTGCCTCCCAGAAAGCTCCACCAGGCTGTGCCGAAGGTGGTAAAGACTCAGCTCTGGTGCAGGTGTCTTGCCTGTATCTTCCTAGTCTCCTTTCCTGTAATGTCCCCTTCCCCCACCCTATCCCGATGCATCCATGATATTATTGTATCGTCTTTCTAAATTATAAACTGTCATTCTGCTTAAGAAATTAATATATTTTCAGAATAAAGTCCAAGAGTTTTATCGTGACACTCAAGGCCCTGCGCAGTCTGAATCCGATCTGCTTTTATAGCCTTAACTTCCACGAAGGTTGATAGAGCTCCAATTTATGAATTAGGAAGACACTCTGAGAGGCTCAGTAACTTGTCCATAGTCATTCGTTCATCGGATATTAAAGTATCTATGGAAAATAACAGTGTCCCACACTTCTAGGACAAGACGAATTGTTCTATTGCCATGGTAAAAATGATCACCAGAACTGGTTGTAAAACTAATTGACCAGTGACAGCTTGCTTCAGTGAACAATGCCTCAGTGCGGCCTCCTACTTTGAAAATGAGCTGTTTGGTGGCAGACTCCAGTGGGACACACTTTAGGACTGATGTCAGTCCTCTCCTTTTCCTGCAAAATACTGCACATGAGGTCAGGAATTTGCTTTGCTCAATGAAACTATATCTGACCACAACAGGACTCCATTAAATAAACAAGGTTCAGATATTGTGTAAGGTATTGAAATATTAAGCACTGGACAGTGGAAAATGGGAGAATAAGGTACTGGCCTCATTCTCATGAAGTTTATAATCTGCTGGGGAATATATATATATATATTCAGGCCATTTCAATAACTGGTGAACTCTACCAGAGGAAAAGTTTCTATCCTGTATGGGAGGAGCCCATAATCCAGTCTTGAAGCAAAGGAGGATGGGTGGTCATTGGTCAAATAAGACTTAGAAGAGTTAAATTAATTAAAATTCCACCTGTGGTCTTACCTGTAGGAGCCTGTCATAGGGCTTTAAGCCACCAAGCTCTCCTGGCCCAGCTGGGCGAATATTTTTCACATACACTCCTTTCTCCAGCAGGCCATCCGCCACGCTGAACCCAAAGTCTTCCATGTCAGAGCTCTTGTACAAGGTCACCTGGAAAGTGAGAAAATGTGAAGGGGACATTTAGCTAAGATGGAGACTTTTGCTTGTGAATCTTCTCGACACACGATCTTTTCAAACAAATTTTAATAACATAATGGATTTGTAATTCAGCAGCTCCCTCCAACCCTGCAGCTTTTCCCTGTCTCCAGGAACATTCTTGGAATTTGTAAAATTCTCCTCGGAACTGAAAAAGCAGAAGTGCTGAGAATGCTGGTCCTTCCCCCTCTCCCTCCCCATCCCTTCCCTCCCCTCCACCTTTCCCACCTCACTCCTCCCCTCCCTTCCTCTCCTCTTCCTCCTTCCCTCCTTCATTTCCTTCCTTTCCTCTTCTTTCATCATAGTTTCAGGGCAAGTCGACTTCTCTATCTTCTTGAAGCAGCTCCCTGGCGTTGGGAGCAGCCAGGGAACAGCCTTTCATCCTGATGGATCTCAGAATGACGCCAAAGGCCTTCCCATCCTGCCCAGCCCTACCTGGTGCTATGCTGGGTGCAGAGCTGAGCATATTCTCTGCCTTTTAGCAAGTGCCACAAAGTCCATCATTTTATTTGCTATAGAAACCTCAATTGGTACTTCAGTACTTCTGGCAAAACCCACTTAAAAGACTCGAAAGTGTTCCTGTAACAGACCCCTTGCTCTGGAGTCTGGCTTGAAAAGCTACGGGGTTTGGTTGAGCAATTCAAGGTAGTCACCCTTCTCAGCCGTGGGCCACAGCTGGTTCTGCACCCAAGACCAGCTAGCACCAGCTAAAGCTTCTACCAATCCTCATTCCTCTACCTTACCACCTGCAAGATTTAGTCTGAGATTCATTCATTCATCAGATCATTCATACTTTCATCAAATGTGTCCTGAGTCCCTACCATGTGCCAAACGTGATTCTGGGTGCTGGAAAACAGCAGTGAATGAGAGAAGAGTCTGCCTTCTCGAGGCAGCACATTAATATGTAACATTCACTGAGCGCCCACAGTGCTGGATACTGCCAGGTGGTGTGCTCAGCACTTCACGCTCATTTAATGCTTTTCGGTGACCACTGTTTTTACTAAGTTTTGCCGAATGTCCTCTGCAAAAACTCATGCACGCTTCAAGCAATGATTTGGGCTTACTTTTTTCCTCTAATGATCTAAAAATGTATATTTCATTTATCTTTATTTTTACACAAACATGAACACATTCTTGTAAAAGAGGCAAAAATTCAGAGTGATACGGGGCAAAATGCCAAGATTAAAACTTTAAGAGCAGGTTTATTTTTTATACCCAGTTATTTTACTTCAGAGAGGTATGGCAGATAGAAAAAAATAAAAAAGCGGTCAGTTTGTAGATTTTTATTTCACTGGGTAAAGAGATGAATCATCAGTTTATCTGGCTTGATACTGTTCACCAGAAACCCTAGAAGTGATTGCCATATTAGAGGTGAGAAAATTCAATTTTATAGAGCTTTGGTGACTTGCCCAAGGTCACAAAGGTAATGAGAGGTGTGGCCAAAACTGTCTGACTCTAAACACCATGCACTTTATCATTATTCTAGCGATGCTCAAAATGCCGTATTTTATATTCTAAGATGCAGTTTTTTCATATTTTAAAATCTCTGAAATTGGGCTGTTTTATAATCTATGGCATCATAGATCCTATGAAATAAGATAAATTGACATATACCATACCTGCCTGCCTCTTCCCCACCAGTACACTAGAAGGAAAGGGAGCAGAATTTGATCGCATCATAACTTTAAGAGGAAATAAAAAAGTGCCTTGCCACTTAAGGTGTGGTCCTGACTAGAAGCACCGACACCTCTCAGGAGTGTGTGAAAAGGCAGAAGCTCGACTCCGGCCCAGACTGACTGAGTTGGCATCTAGAGCTCGCTAGTGGTCTGTGTGCACACTGAAGTTTTCTGTGTGGTGTGTCGCCATCCAGAGGGGCTGTTACATATTCTGGAAAAAGGAAGCAAGGGAACTAATGTTTAATGAGATGACATTCTTTGCAGTCTCATTCCATCACTGTGTGTGCGTGTGCACGTGCGTGCACGTATGAGTGTGTGTGCACCCACAATGGACTCTACTATGTGTCAGGCACTGTTTTAAGACTGAGGATATAGTAGTGAACAAAACTTAGCCTTCATGAGTTTATAGTTCAGGGAAGATATATAATGTAATCTACCTTACAATCCTGCCAGATGAATAAAAGTTTCCATTTTAAATCGGGTAAGTATATATAAAAGTTTAAAAATCTGAAATGACCTGATTTCCACGGAAGGATCACTTTTGTGGCACTCAGTTATGTAAGTATAGAGTAGTAAGTCCTCTAGAAGGGGTTTGTATGTGTGGTGCCTGCGTGCACTTATGCGTATAGCTTACTAACTCCAGTGCCCCATCTGACATGGACCCAACCCTTTGATGCGTGGGGAGAGGTGGGTTAAAACTGTGTAAATGACTGAGTACTTTCCAATGCAAAACTCATCAAGAGGGGAGGAGAAGTCTTTCTTGGTGACCTGGGCTCAGGTAAAGGCCGTAGGGGAGTATGTGGAAGACGCCCCCTCAAGGAGCATGAAGATCTTTGTTTTATTCACTCAAATCCTTAAATAGGTGCCTGCCACATAGCAGGGTTAGTATTTTGTTGAATAAATGAAATGGCTAGTTCTGACAAGGTTGAGTTTGGAAGCCATTCAAAATTGGTCACGATGTGGTGCAAGCGTGAACTAAGAGGGATTTAATTCTGGGTTTCAAAACAGGTCCCTCTCTGCCTCCCTCTCCCAGGCGGGCCGCGCTGGAAGTTATCAAAGCTGCAGCCCCAGGGTGGTTGGGCGGCTGGGGCTGGCCGAGGTACAGATCCAATGGCGACACCTTGTGGCCATAAGAGGTGAAAGCACTTCTTGGAGCCAGGCCCGCTCTGCTTAAGAGCTGAGGAAGCCCCAGTGTTGGACAGGGAGGGAGGTGGGATGGATGGTCCCCCGGGGAGAGATGGTGGACTTCTTGCTAATAAGGCCCGTGGGACTTGAGTGAGTAGATTAAAAAGCAAGTGAACAGGATGCTGCTATCTCTACCAAGTTTGTGAAGCAGATCACACAGACAAGGAAATGACAGGTCAGAGAGGGTTAGAAACTTGCCCAAGGCAAAACAGATAGTGAGCAACAGAGAAGTGGTTGGTTCAAACCAGGTGGTTCTGACTGCAAAGCTCAGACCTCTCCATGGCACACTACCTCTTTACTTGGCATGTGGCTGCGTAATAAATGCTCATTGCAGAGAAGAAGTTTGCCTTAGGCCACAGGACAAGAGAGTTCTGTCAATCGTTCCTAAGGTGCGGTGAGTGGTTATTGGAAAAAGCTATTTCAAAAATTTTAATTTTTTCCCAATTTTATTGAGATGTAATTGCCATATAGCACTGTATAAGTTTAAGGTATACTGCATAGTGACTTGCATACGTATATTGTGAAATGACTGCCACAGTAAGTTAAGAGAAAGCTATTTTTTAATGAAACGTTTCAAACATATTCAAGAGTAGACAGGCTAGAACAACGAATCTCCACATATGCATCACTCGGACCCAACAACCATCGATAGCTCACACTTCCTCTGCCCTTCTTTTTTCTTTTTTGGGGGAGTATTTTTAAGGCAAATGTGAGTCCTTATGTCATTTCACTCTAACGTGCCTCAGTATGAACTCTAAAAGATACGATCACTTTTTACGTAACCTCGATGTCTCTAATTCATTCGCAAAATTAACTCTTACTCTCTGATATGCCCCATACCTAGTCCATAATAAAATTTCCCTGATTGTCTCAAAAGTGGTTTTTAGAGTTTTTTTTTTTTCTCAAATCAGGATCCAACGAAGTACACACATTATGTTTGCATCAGGTATCTTGTATGTCCTCTTATCTAAAGGATGCCCCATCTTTTTTACCCTGTGCTACTGACTTATTGTGGGAACTATGTCATTTGTCCTGTAGCATATTCTTCTATCTCCCATGTTTCCTCTAAATGGAAGTTAGCTCTGGATGTTTAATTGCAGCCAGGGTCAGCTTTGGGGAGCAGGGGTACGAATATATATTATCACAGGTGGCACAGTGTGTTTCCTATGGCATCATGTCACTCAATGTCTAGTTCCCCTTTGGGTGGGTTCAGGTGATGACAGCTTAATTTCTCCATTGTAAAGTTTCCCATCAACATTTAATCTAGTGATTTTAGCCACTGATAACCTTTGTCTGAAACAATAATTTCATTAGGGGTTGCAGAGTGATAATCTTTTTCTAATCCTATAGTATCTTCTATATTTATTAGCTAGAATTCTTTTGTAGAGAAGAATTCTCCTTTAATTAGTGCTGTTTGGTTATTCTGAAGTATAGTTTGTACAAGAACGGCAGAATGAATGCTAATTCTTTCCTTTCAATCTTAGAATAGGAAATTAGAGCATTAAATACTTCCAAAGGTGTCCTAACAAGAGTTTTCTTTTTTTCGGAGGGGTTGACTTGTTAAGTAAAATATCAGTATAAACCCACAACAATTAATCGTACCATAGTTTGGATGCTCAAATTTTCTCATCTTTGGCCAAGGAGAGTGCTTTGTGTTGACTCCTATGTGCTTTTGACACGACCCACTACTCATGATAACTTCTTTGCTTTCTAGAACTAGACATCACAGACTCACTACGAGTATTTCCTGACCCCAATGTGGAGTTGGCTGTTCCTCCGAGGAGCCTTGACTGGAGGAAACATTCCTGTTTATATGCCAGCTCTTTTCCTCCATCCCCATGCTCCTTTCCCAAAGAGTGGAAAAAGAGGAATGGGGGAAAGGGTAAAAAGGAGGAGGTGAACAGCTGAAAGGATTGGCGACAGCCTGCCATTCTTTGGGCCTGATAGGATTGGCGACAGCCTGCCATTCTTTGGGCCCTGTTTCCTAGTGGATGAAATGTCTCTGCTCAAGGTCCCTGCCTATGTGCCCCTCTTGGACTTGGTCTTGCCTCGTCTGTGGGATCTCCTGTCTTTTGCCCCTTTTCCATCTTTGAT